TTTTTTCCCTGCCATGGACAAACTACAAGTTCGCTTTAAGGTAACAATACACGTTTCAATCCAATTGTTCAGCGTTCCGATTGTCCCAAACCTATAGAAAATGAAAGCAGTGGACAGCGATTAAAGTGAGCGCGTTGCTTTGCCATTTATGGGTGCCTTTGCTGGATGGTGTTTACTCCTGGCAGAACTGGTAAACAGCCCAGATAACAGAAATCAAATGACAGCTTCAATTGGAGGCATCTCACACATGTATAATGCTTTAAGATGAATTCTGAGATCATGCGTTTTCTCACTGAGGGAAGATTTCCCAACACATCCAACAGCAGCCAAATTCGCTGCAAACATGCCACACAACCAATACGCCACACACAACACACTCTGTATACACATTACAAGGAAAATGTACAGTTGTGTAATGTTTCCTTATTGTTGAACATCAGGCAGATGAAAAACACCAATTCATGCAGGTATGTATTCAATAAAAAAAATTTAAACGCATGCAATGTAAGGGACTATGTCGGCGGGCTTTTGTTCTCTTCAAGTGGGTTTTGCTTCCTTTAGGTCTGAGGAAATGCCAAACCCAATAGAAACAAGTCAAATGCAGGTCAGAAGGAAGTCAATTCCACGCCAAATACACCTGTCAATGAATTCTGAATGATATCAAAAGTGTTTCTAACTGATTTCAAACTGATGCCATAGACATAGGCCCAAAGCCTATTGACACAGGACCAAAACCTATCTACACAGGACCAAAGCCCATCTACACAGGACCAAAGCCCATCTACACAGGACCAAAGCCCATCTACACAGGACCAAAGCCCATCTACACAGAACCAAAGCCCATCTACACAGAACCAAAGCCCATCTACACAGAACCAAAGCCCATCTACACAGGTTCAAAGCCCATTGACACAGGCCCAAACCCTGTCTACACAGGCCCAAAGCCTATCAAGAAAGGGCCAAAGCCTGACTAAACAGGACCAAAGCCCATCTACACAGGCCCAAAGCCTATTGACACAGGTCAAAAACCTATCTACACAGGACCAAAGCCCATCTACACAGGTTCAAAGCTTATTGACACAGGCCCAAAGCCCATCTACACAGGACCAAAGCTTGTCTACACAGGCCCAAAGCCTATTGACACAGGGTCCACAGCTCATCTACACAGGCCCAAAGCCTACTGACATAGGCACAAAGCCCATCTACACATGCCCAAATCTTGTCTACACAAGCCCAAAGCCTACTGACACAGGCCCAAAGCCCATCTACACAGGCCCATAGCTTGCCTACACAGGCCAAAAGCCTACTGACACAGGCTTAAAACCTAATGACAAAGGCCCAAAGTTCATCGACAAGGCTGATATCACACTAGCAAAGTAGTAGGAACCATTTTTTAGCGCTAAAAACCTTTTTGCCTGTTTTGTAGCTGGATACAGAGTTGTTGATGTAGCTGAGTGCAATGTTTCTCTATACATGTACAAATCGCTGGTGTGCCATGATTATCAGCAGTTGCATTGGATAACAGGGCACCGCAAAAAGTTAAACTTAAGCTGGCCATACACTGTTATATTTTTCTCATTCAAACTGTGGACTGAAAGAAAAAAAACAGATGCCTCCATTAATGCTATACAGCGTGGATGGAGGACTCCCTTGTATTCTGACAGCGGTGGATATTACAATGTCAGAATACCCGAACAGTGACGATTGCCAGTGGAACTAGAAGTTTCAGCACGCCCTGCCAGTCACAGGTTGGGACATGGCGTTCCACAAGGGCTGCAGAGCCATAAGAAAGTAGCAGCAGTTGGTTTATTTACAAGAGACCTCAATAGAAAGGACATCCGTATGGCGTAATGAATGCAAGCAGCTGAATTATTGAAGCAGGGCTATTGTACTCTGTACTAATGACATTATAACCGGAGTCAGGTGCAGCTCGCAGCTCTCGCCCCACCGCCCCGGATCAGGACTGGATTGTCTGCTACTGTTTAGGGATGAGAGAATTAACCGGCTGGATTTGGATGGAGTTACAAGGTGACAAGTGATGAGCAGGTAGCCGCGCGCTCACAGGGGTTGGGTGTCGCAGCTTGCAAGTCACTGACAGCAAACATAAACCGGCTTACTCTATAAGCTTACTCTATAAGAAACGATGATGTACACCGAGCTTAAGTCGGATCAGTGAAAGGCCAATTCTGATTGGCTGATTATGGATACGAGCATTTAAAGCTGAACTCCAGAAAAAGCAAACAAGAGTCATGTGTATTCTTACTTGAATCAAGGTGTGCTTTGTGTATTCCTTCCAAATCAGTAATCCAGTGCCAGACTTTTCCTCCTGTGCAGGAACTTCTTGTACTAAAGACCAGTTATTGCGGCTTTCTCTCCTTGTGCAGGGTGACTGGTCTTGTATCCTCCTCTTTCTGTACTTTTCCATGGGTGGTACTTTTCCCTCCCACAACTCTGTTCTCTGCACAGCACAGTGATTATGTCACTACAAAATTTACAGGTAATATCTGGGTTTGAAGAGGTGTTTGGAGTATACGGAGTGAATTTATATGTTTGTGGTTATTTAGGAATACATTTAAATGAACGTTTTCGTGCCCTGTGTTCAGCTTTCAGACATCACCACTGCCATCGAACATGGGGGCGAGAAAAGAGTGAGAGCCACAGAAACGGTAAAATCAAGGGCAATCAACAGCTATTTCCAAGATCGATGCTACCACACGTAGTCCCACGGTGCTTATTGATCCAAAAATTGCTACTCTATTTCGCAGCACAGTCGCGAATTTTTTTTTAAAATGTTGAGCTTGTGCATCTTAAAGTGTATGTAAAGGCAAATCATGTCATTTAATATATGATAGCTGAGCCCCGCTTGTGAATAGCTTGTGCAGCCTTTGTGTGGTTGTCAGCAAAAAAAGAGATAGATGGGGCTTGTAAGGTGTCAAAAATGCAATTAGGGATAATACAACATAGTAATGACAAAATAACATAATAAAATGACAACACACGCAGCTAGGACCTAAGTCTATTAACAGAAGCTCTATTAACAGAAGCTGTGCGCCATTGCTGCTGAGATGTGCACCGCCCCCGGCCCTATCTGCTGAAAATAGTTAGTTTGAAAAGCCTAAAAGCCAGCATGCTTTATTAAAATGAACATAATATAAGATTTCCTCTCCAGGGTTCAGGTCTTCTTCAAGGGCCCATTCACACTTGCGTGTTGCGGCAACATGTGTGTTAACATGCTAAAACGCATGGCGACAAAACGCTCAAGACACGGAGCCCCATTCATTTCTATGGCCCCAGTTCACACCTGAGCGTTTTGCTTGATGCATTTTCCATTGAAATAATAGAAAGCCATCAATGACCATCATGATTAGGACGCAGGCTGAAGGAAAAGAAAAATCTTTTCTGGCACGGCCGGCTTATCAAAGTCATATCATCAGCCCGGGTCACCTATAATGTCACTTTGGGCGGACCGACCCGTCATTTATTATTGGCTTTACCGACAATTACCGCAGCGATTTACGTTCTGTACATTCACATCAATCCCTGCCTTCAAGGAGTTTGCAATCTCATAAACATATACATATTAGGACCAATTAACCTACCAGCATGTCATTGGATTGTGGGAGGAAACTGGACCTGGAGGAAACCCACGCAAGCGCAGGGCAAGCATGCAAACTCCATGCAGATAGTGTCCTGGCCAGTAATGGATCCTAGGACCCCAGTGCTGCAGGGTAGAAGTGTAACTCACACTGTGCTGCCCCTTTAAGAACCAGTTGGCCAGCATGTCATTGGAGTGTGGGAGGAAACTGGACCTGGAGGAAACCCACGCAAGCGCAGGGCAAGCATGCAAACTCCATGCAGATAGTGTCCTGGCCAGTAATGGATCCTAGGACCCCAGTGCTGCAGGGTAGAAGTGTAACTCACACTGTGCTGCCCCTTTAAGAACCAGTTGGCCAGCATGTCATTGGAGTGTGGGAGGAAACTGGACCTGGAGGAAACCCACGCAAGCGCAGGGCAAGCATGCAAACTCCATGCAGATAGTGTCCTGGCCAGTAATGGATCCTAGGACCCCAGTGCTGCAGGGTAGAAGTGTAACTCACACTGTGCTGCCCCTTTAAGAACCAGTTGGCCAGCATGTCATTGGAGTGTGGGAGGAAACTGGACCTGGAGGAAACCCACGCAAGCGCAGGGCAAGCATGCAAACTCCATGCAGATAGTGTCCTGGCCAGTATTTGATCCTACGACCCCAGTGCTGCAGGGTAGACATGTAACCCACACTGTGCTGCCCCTTTAAGAACCAATTGGCCAGTGTCAGGCTCGGTTCACACCGAGGCGACGCCTCACGATTGCCGCGCTGTCAGGAGTCGCCAAGGTGTGAACCGATCGCACTGTGGGTGCCATTATTTTCTTATATCCCACTGCGATTCCACCCGTGCTTCCGAACACGATCGTGGCTAAAACGGCCGCGCATCGTGTTAAGCCAAAAAAAAGGTACTTGTACCTTTTTTCTGCGATTGCCGTGAGGATGTCACCCCATTGAAATCAATGGGGCCGCGCGGCAAATCGCTGCCTGCATTGTGCAGGACCCGCGATGCCGGGACGTGCGTCCATGGTGTCGTGCGGTGTAGTGGAGGTGTGAACCTAGCCTCAAGGATATTTCCATGCCATATCATTTTAAGGACAAATCCTCTAAAACTGGAACTGCACCTATAAAGCAATGCTGAGACTTGGACTTACGCTGCACTTGCAGATCCCCAAGTTGCTCAAATACATGTTTAATAAGAATTTGAAGGGGCATGCTAATAAGGGGTGAACAGAAATAATTTAGGGTGCAATTGACCACTATAGAGAGCAAGCAGCCTTTCCAGGCACAGATCATCTACCTGTGCTGCCTTCTCCCTAGAGATCAGAAGAGTTGTCACTAAGAGGTTCTGCATCAGCTGCAATGCTGCTCCTCTACAGTAATGTCGGCTTTCCAAGTTTCATGCAGTGGTCGTACTCACAGATCTGCCGGAATGTCTCCTCCAGGAGCTCCTGCTGAACATGTCCAGGCTGTAGGGGACGTGACAACTCTCAGCTGTCCGCTGCCACCACTCAGCTCTTCGGGGACACCGCTCAGCTCTCCGCTGCCACTACTCAGCTCTCCGGGGTCACAGTGCCTTGGTGTCCTGCCTGGCCCGGGGCTCCGCTGTCTCTGATGTGCGATCAATGAGCCGGGAGTTGGGAACGGGCTGTGTGTGTAGCTCCACCCTGCCAGGGACCGGAGAGGAGGGGGGAGACCTGGAGAGTCTGGGTTATCCCTCCATGTACGATGTGTGCACGTCACTCCTCTGCAGGAGAGGAGTGGGTGGATGGCAGCGCTCATTGTATAGGATGGAGGGGGGGGCTCTATAGTCACATATTGCATGGCTGGGGAGAGAGAGGGGGCGACATGTTCTTGGCATAATGGCATAAAGAGCTCAGTCAGGGGTTGGGGGGGGGGGTCATCGTTATGTGGGGCTCATTCGCAGCGGATGCGTTTTTCCATCGCCGCTGCCGCCACAAAGTGCACAGCTACGCAGGTTGAAAAAAAGATACTTGAGTTCAACCGATAGAGAAATGAATAAATTGAAGACCTGCATCTTAGACGTTAGACATCCAAATCTCCCCAAAAAAATTTCCATCCATTCGGATTTTTATTCTCTTCGTTTTTCGGATCTGAAATTGATTCAGATCATTATTCGGATTTCGGATTCATCTGATTTTTTGTTTCGGAACAAAGTCCGTGCCTGTAATGCAACCGTCAACAGCAAAAAATAATCTGATTGGCCAAAACAGTCACATTAGTTACGTTTTGAAACGAAATTCGGATGGATCCGAATTTTCATTAAACGAGCATTTGGATTCATTCGCATTCGGACGCATTAGAATTCAGAAATTTGGATGCATCTGAATGTCCGAATTTAACAAAATGCATACCAATATCCAATCGGAACAAAAGGAATTTTACATTAGAGGCGTCCACAGGCCAGGTGTCATCTGCGGGGATGTCATTATGTACTCGTGTGATGTCATCACGCATGCACATGATGTTATTACGTAAGTGTGTAATGATGTCACGTGCACTTCACGCGGGCGCCAGCAGAGAGAGGAGGGGACGTTCATCCCACAGCATAAAGTATGGGGCCGGTCGCCTCCTCTCTCGTGGTGCTGTTGGGCTCTCAGTGCATGACTGAGTACCTGACTTTTCAAAGGAGGTGACACCAAAATGACTGGTGTCCCTCCCTCTGATGGTGTCACCTGGTGCAGGCCGCATCTCTCGCCCCCACCTTGTGATGCCCTGATTTACATGTCTACTATACGGAAGGATCTATTCACACCAGATGCCTTGGGCTGCACTGGACAGACATGCCCAATGCGTGGACAAGACAATGGGGGGGGAGGGGGATTTATCAAGACTGGAGCAGACAGAATGTGGAGCAGTTGCCCATGGCAACCAATCAGCTTCTCTCTTCAGTTTGCTCAGGTAAGATTTGAAAATGAGACAGAGAAGCCGGCCGCTGAATGGCTGCAAGCACCGTTCTTTTGGACATTTTCCAACCAGCTCCTTTGATCAGCTGATCGAGACATGCCAGGTGGAAGGGTGCCAACAGGGGCAACCACTGTGCACATTTTTGGCTGGTTTCTGAAAAATCGGCTTAAATTGCCATAGTGTATGGCCAGCTTAGGACACGCAGTTCAGCACAGTGCATTGCAACGCACTACACTCCATTACAGCACGTTAAGGTGAATGTAAATGAATGGAATGTCACTTTGTGACATTTTAATACATTGAGAAAAAGAATAAAACAGGTAACCAGTGCAATGCGCTGTAATCAGCACCTTGCACTGCTTCCTTTATGGTGCACACCTTCGACAGCGCTATAGTGCGCACTGATGGTGTGAAGGACCCTATGGGCAGCATTGTCCAATGCAGTCTTAATGCATAGACAAGGCAACTTGCTTTATGTCCCGTGAGTTCGCTTTGCGTTGGTGTGCACTGAAAAAGTAACAGACAGGATGCACTTTTACATTGCTGCTGGTGTAAACGGGCCCTAAACCATAGTTAACGTGTACCCGCTGGCAGAGACCTAACTAGAAACCTCAGGGCCCCGGTGTAAGTAACCATGAAGGGCCCCCTCACCACCACTGCGGGGGGGAGCTGAGGAGAGTTGGCCTGCTGCATGCTGGGAACTATAGTCCTAGGAGGCTAAGCACCTCAGTGGTTAATGGGGCCCTCTTCTTCCTCTCTGGGCCCCCCCAACTGGCACAAATGCGACTGCTGTGACCCTGGTAGTTCTGCCAGTGCAGCACAGTATAGGTATATATAGGTGGACAGTACAATGTATGATCAGCACAGTGTATGAACAGAGGTGGACAATCTGATTCCAGTGGTCATCTCACTCCTTATACAAGTCTCTCCTGTGTTTTAAAATCAAACTGCAAGTCTTCTGCGTGCGGACCAATGAGCGGCAAGCTGAGGTGAGTGTCGGCCAATGAGCGGCGGGCTGGAGTTGGAGCGGGTGATGTCATGTCCGGGCTTGTTCCTTGCAGGGTGTAAACATTCCATCGATCTTTGGTGTGGATGGAGGCGGCGGGCAGGGCCAGATTTACCACAAGGTCTGGCCTCGGGCCAGCAGGGAGTAGAGGGGCAGCAGGGAGTAGAGGGGCAGCAGCGGTGTGGAATTCATATCTCCCGATGCCCGGAACATACAGTTCCAGGCGCGGGGTGGGTAGTTGTTTTCTATATTTAGCTCTGCTTTGGGCAAGAAGAGCTAATTGTACAGCGGGGAAGCCATCGCTTGTTTTGTATGCAGCCTGCAGGTCTGCCATTCTCTATGGGGGGGCTTTTTGGCAGGTAGGGGGGTGCATTGAGGAACCTGACCTTGGGGCAGCAGAGAGAGTAAATCCGTAGCTGGAGGCAGGCAGCACCCAAGGTTTACCCCGAGCCTTCCTGCACAGAACTGCCTCTTCCTCTTTGGGCCCCATCAACTGGCGGAACGCCAGGGCCCGGTTCCAAATGCGACTGCTGCGACCCTGGTATTTCCGCCAGTGCTCGCTGGGATTAATGAGCCCTAAACCCACAGCTAAGCTGTACCTGCTGGTGTGAGTTGTGTGCCTTCTTTTAACTGTATTGAAATGTCAGAAAAGGACATTTCATTCATTTCTATGCACAAACTCATAGGACATAAGGTGAAATGCCTTGTTGATGCGTTGGGTAAAGCTACCCAAAGCAGCCCAATTCATTTGATATAAAAGGGTCCTCGATGTTGGGGCCCAATAATTCTCCCGTAAGAGCCCGTTGCTGACATTGAACACCACTGTTGGCAATAAGTCCCAAGCATTTGGTCTCTTATTGTTCAGTGGGAAGTTTGGATCCTGACAATGTTTACCACAGAGTTGGCATCAGAGACTAACTGCATTGGAGGGGGTGCCTTCTGGACAACTTTGCTATGGAAGAATTGATAAGAGATGCTTTATCAAGGGGCACATTGTTATTTCTACATTGCAGGCTAATGCCTCCCATGACGCTGACTATGATTCACTGTATTTATGATGTGGAGGATGCTGTAGCTACCAAGCACTGCCCTCTGGCACATTCACTGTTGTGGGGAGGGAGAAACATTGACTAACGATCATACACTCACTTGTTCCTTTGGAGGATCTGCTGCACATTCCCAGACTAGACTGTATCATGTTGAATTGTAGATGTATTATAGTCTACTGTGGACTATAACATGAACAAAAAACAGCCGAGTAGGAATATTCTTCCGGAATGTCACAAATTTTATCTTTTAGGCCTGGTTCACACCTGAGCATTTTTACACATGGATCTAATCGTGAGAAAACATGCAAAACACACATTTCCATGCAAGTCAAAGGCAAGGAGAAGGTAGAGCCAAAAGGTGATCAGCAAGGGGGTACATTTGAAGACTGGATGTTGTACAGATTCTCACAGACATAGAAAAAGAGGGAATACATAATATTTGTACCCCTCAGGTTAGTTTATCAGCATAGCATTATATTTGGAAGAGCCAATAAAGACTATTCAGGGCATTGAAGTTGCTCTGAATTTTCCATCTGTGCGATGAATCATGGCCATGAGATCTTCTATCAACATGATTTTGTTAACGTTGGAGAGCCAGAGTGATGTGGGTAGAAGGGCAGAGCACTGAAAGGCTAGAGGTGGCATTTAAATGTAGAAGGAAAGTAGCCGGGTGCTGGACCAGTTCAGACCAGGATATGTGGGTATGAGTACCAATGTCTCCAGCCTAGTGGTTGTACATGTGGGTATGGATTGTCTTGCAGAGCAGGAACTCTCTAAAAAGATTTCGTAATCAGATTATTGGTGTTGGCTAGCCAAAGAAAAGTTTGTGTGGCGAAAATAGAATTGTTTCAGTTTCGTCCAGCTGTATTGTAGTTGTATACAACTACATGAAGAGGCATTTGTAATTCCTCTTCCCATTTCTTGATATGTACGTGGTGAGTCATTAGACAGGATGGAGAATAACTTGTAGATCTGAGAGAGTGAATGTCTGGCAGAGGTGGTGCCTAAGCAATAGTATTCCAAACTCAGTGAGGGCTCTAGATTGGAGTGGAGAAGTAAGCCACAGAGAATAAGAAGTGTCTACCTGCCTTGCGCTCCAGTAGATAATGGGGGGGGGGGGGGGTCCATGAATGATTGAATTTCTCTCAAAGTGGCTATCACCAGAGGAGATAAAGTTCCTTGCTCAAAAAGTATTTATCTCTAAGAGCTCCTTGCACTTGTCATACTGTTCTATTTGTCCCATGCTTTAAACTTTCGAAGGCAGCACCAGTTTACCACACCACAAAGGTGGAAAGCTTTGTGGTATAATGCTATGCCTGACTTCTAATCTAGGTTTTGGAAGCAATAGAGTGGCAAGTTTAAGTCTAGAGACTTTATTGTCTCAAATTAATGATGAGAAGGGTGTTCATAAAGAGGAGAAGAAGGCTTTAGGTTTTTAAAGTCCGGAGTGATGTACATACCAAGACATTTATGTTGGGTGAAAGCCCATTTGAGGAAACTTCCTGAATCCTCACTCCCCAATCTCCCAGGAAAGCTCCAGGAGTACGGAAGACCCTGAATTTCACAGCAGAGGGGAATCTGAGACCCTG